CCATTAACAGGCTAATAGGAAGAAGCGCCACAGCAGCTGATGGAGTTTCTGAAGGTCAGAGATAATTCTCTAAATTGCTCGACTTCCCTCCCATCCCCTCCAAACACACCTGTGAACTGGGCTGCAGCGAGATAGTTGGGTTTTAATAATGAACTTTGAGAGATAACTATGGGAGAGGATGGCATGTTAATCGCCATGATGCAATGCAATCCGTCAACTTCTCCTGCCATACAAAAGGGGAAAGCACTATTATGGTGAGTTACTGCAGCAGTTAATACACACTGCAGGCTCTGTGTTCTTTTGAATGGTTGCTATAACTCACAGGGAGACTATCAAGAAGATCAGGCCCATCTTCTTTGAGGGCCATTTTTGGGGTCATTTAATGCGAAGTCCAGGGCAGTAGCCAGAAATCTTCTGGTGAGGAGGTAAGAAATCATTGCAGAACAGCCAGAACAAACTAGCCATGATGCCCAGCTTTACTTCCACTGGTGGAGACCGTATGCCTCTGAATTCCAATTGCTGACGCTCACAAGCTGGGAGAGTGCTGTAACACTGAGGTCCTGTTTGCAAGCTTCCTAAGGACACGTGGTTGGCGACTGAGAATGGGATGGTTAGCTAGGTGGGACTTTGCTCTGATCTTAAAAATGCAAATAAGAAAGATATCGGAGTTATTGCATGGCAGGAGAAGGTCGCAAAGATTTCATGAGCCTCTAATAACAAAGATGCATTAGAGGAGTCCTTCCAAGCTGCATACCTGCTCTTTTAAAGGCAGCAAAATCCCATCCAGAACCAGAAGGTGGCCTATCTCAAGGAAACAGGAACCACCGACCCACAAAGCCTCTGTCTTCCCATGGTTCAGTCACAAACACATAAGGGCAGTTGTATATATATATATATATATGGAACACCACTCAGACCAATAGTCAGCTCCATAGGCTCACCTCTACAAATAGTCAGCTCCATAGGCTCTACAAATAGTCAGCTCCATAGGCTCACCTCTACAAAATCTCGCTAAATTTCTCGCTAAGCAACTTCAGCCCTATGCAGAATCCATCTCTTCACACGTTACAAACTCCTTCCAGTTCATAGAAATAATAAAGAAGCAAAACCTACATCCCAATGACCTACTTGTGAGCTTCGATGTTGTATCTCTCTTCACACAAGTGCCCATTAATGAAGCCTTGACAGCCATTCAAAACAAATACAATCCCCCCGAATACATCCTGGACCTGACCAACCACTGCCTAACCAACACGTACTTCATCCACAATGGACAAAGATACAAACAGATGGAAGGAGCACCTATGGGATCACCCCTCTCACCGGTCATCGCAAACCTGTACATGGAACACTTTGAAACCAATGCTTTAGACAAGTCAGAACACAAACCCAAACTGTGGCTCAGATATGTTGACGACACCTTTGTAATTTGGCCACACGGGAAGGAAAAACTAGATAGCTTCCTCACACATCTCAACAGCCTACACCCCAAAATACAATTCACTATGGAAATAGAAGCCAACAACCAACTTCCCTTCCTTGACGTCCTAATCTACAAAAAACCTGATGGCTCCCTAGGACACACTATCTACCGGAAAAAAACACACACCAACCGCTACTTACATGCACAATCACACCACCACCCTGCACAAATAAACTCCGTAGCCAAGACTCTCATCTCCAGAACCAAATGCCTGGCTGACAAAGACCACTTGACAACTGAGTTACAGAATCTCTCAAATGTGTTAATCGCCAATGGATACCAGCAAAACAGGGTTACGAAGCTAATCCAAAAAGAAACACCCCCCAAAAACCAAGACACAGAAGAAAACAATGGCATGGCCCTCCTTCCTTATATCAAGGGCACTACAGATAAAATTAGCAAAATCCTCCATAAACACAATATCAAAACAGCCTTTTGCACCAACCAAAAAATAGCCAATATCCTCAGAAACCCCAAGGATAAAATCCAGTTGGAAAACCAAGGGGTCTATGAAATACCCTGCAAAGTCTGCCCAGCCACGTACATTGGACAAACAAACAGACGAATAAATGCACGTATCGCAGAACACAAGAATGCCGTCAAAAAAGAAGAAAAAACTTCCTCTCTTTTCCAACACATGAAAGAAACAGGACACGAAATTAATTTTGCAGATTCCAAATTGCTCTTTAACATGGAACATCACCACAAGAGAATAATCATGGAAGCCATCGAGATAGAGAAACACCCTCACAACATGAACAAGCGTGACGACACATCCCGCCTGCCAGACATCTGGAAATTAGCCCTCCCCACAAAAACCGACACCAGATCCAGAGGCACACAGAACGCCATCACCAATCAACCACACCAGACCCAAACCCAGACCCTCTCCACAGATAAATTACAGACACCATCCAGTAGCCAAACCATGGTGGCACCTCCGGATGCTGCACCCCCCTGCAATCCCTACACAGATCTGGCTGGCACAGGACACAAAACCACAGCTCGCCCCTATACACGAAGCCAAGCCAGAGCACAACTAAGTGCAGTACAGCCATCTTCTCAGAAAAACTCTTCACAAAGCTCAAGAGGTCAAGACACGAAGGCTTTAGCAACTAATCCACACCTAATGACCCACCTAAGTGGTACTCAGAATATCACTCAAGAAATCACTCAAGATATCCCTCAAGTAATTAAGGAACAAAAGAAGAAAAAGCACACTAGCCTGGGAACTTCCTCTCTACCCAGAACATTGGAGGCTATACACCACACCCCCTCAACAGTATTTATAGGAACTCAAACACTGAGATCCTGCTCTGTTCCAGTAACAAGAAGCCGAAAGCACCAGCCTGAAGATGACGAGTGAGACCTCGTCGAAACGTCGCCTAGACACCCCAACTTTTACACGGGAAGACACCTGAGGACACCAAAACCTGCATATATATATATATATATATATATATATATATATATATATATATTTGCTTTCGTAGATTTTCACGGGTACAGGAATGCAGGTTTTGGTGTCCTCGGGTGTCTTCCCGTGTCAGAAACCCCAAGGATAAAATCCAGTTGGAAAACCAAGGGGTCTATGAAATACCCTGCAAAGTCTGCCCAGCCACGTACATTGGACAAACAAACAGACGAATAAATGCACGTATCGCAGAACACAAGAATGCCGTCAAAAAAGAAGAAAAAACTTCCTCTCTTTTCCAACACATGAAAGAAACAGGACACGAAATTAATTTTGCAGATTCCAAATTGCTCTTTAACATGGAACATCACCACAAGAGAATAATCATGGAAGCCATCGAGATAGAGAAACACCCTCACAACATGAACAAGCGTGACGACACGTCCCGCCTGCCAGACATCTGGAAATTAGCCCTCCCCACAAAAACCGACACCTGATCCAGAGGCACACAGAACGCCATCACCAATCAACCACACCAGACCCAAACCCAGACCCTCTCCACAGATAAATTACAGACACCATCCAGTAGCCAAACCATGGTGGCACCTCCGGATGCTGCACCCCCCTGCAATCCCTACACAGATCTGGCTGGCACAGGGCACAAAACCACAGCTCGCCCCTATACACGAAGCCAAGCCAGAGCACAACTAAGTGCAGTACAGCCATCTTCTCAGAAAAACTCTTCACAAAGTTCAAGAGGTCAAGACACGAAGGCTTTAGCAACTAATCCACACCTAATGACCCACCTAAGTGGTACTCAGAATATCACTCAAGAATCACTCAAGATATCCCTCAAGTAATTAAGGAACAAAAGAAGAAAAGGCACACTAGCCTGGGAACTTCCTCTCTGCCCAGAACATTGGAGGCTATACACCACACCCCCTCAACAGTATTTATAGGAACTCAAACACTGAGATCCTGCTCTGTTCCAGTAACAAGAAGCCGAAAGCACCAGCCTGAAGATGACGAGTGAGACCTCGTCGAAACGTCGCCTAGACACCCCAACTTTTACACGGGAAGACACCCGAGGACACCAAAACCTGCATTCCTGTACCCGTGAAAATCTACGAAAGCAAATATATATATATATATGTGTGTGTGTGTGTGTGTGTGTGTGTGTGTGCCTTCTCAGGAGGGAAATCCCAGTGAGTTCAGTACAGTGGTACCTTGGGATTACATACACTTCAGGTTACAGACTCCGCTAACCCAGAAATATTACCTCGGGTTAGGAACTTTGCTTCAAGATGAGAACAGAAATCGTGCAGCAGCAGCTGAGGGCCCCATTAGCTAAAGTGGTGCTTCAGGTTAAGAACAGTTTCAGGTTAAGAACAGACCTCCAGAATGAATTACGTTCTTAACCCAAGGTACCACTATATAGCTTATTCTTTGGTAGGTGGTTATAGCATTGTAACCTAAAGTTTGTATCATGGACTGTTTGGGTGGGACTGAGAGGCCAAACACCAGTTTCTGGCACCAGTTCCAACAGCACGGCTGGGGGTTTCATTACAGCATTAAGGCCAGAGCCCAAACTAGTCTTGTGAGATGCTGCAGAAGCAAAAGCCATCTGAGTTTCTTAATGATTATTGATTCAGAGGTACTTTTGTGGAAGACACGAACATAGGAAGCTGCCTTGTACCAAGTCAGGTCAATGGTCCATCTAGGTCAGCATGGTCTACACTGATTGACAGTGGCTCTCCAGTGTTTTGGGCAGGAATCTCTCCCAACGCTACCTGGAGATTCCAGGAATTGAACCTGGAACCTTCTGCATGCAAGGCAGATGATATACCACTGAACTACGGCCCTTCCCAAACAAAGCATTCCCCTCCCACATCACTATTTACACCTATACCATCCCCATCCCATACTGTAAGGCTGGAGGACAGACAGGCTCCCAACATCTGAAGACACCTTGTAGAATTTGGTCAGCACCTGGATGGGCGACTCCTGGGGAACCACATGTCCATCACCTTGGGTTCCATGTTGGAAGAAGGGCAGGATAAAAATGCAATTAAATGAACAAACAATTGCTTATTTTTCTTTCCATTTATTACAACTTAAAGTTTGTATTTTACAGGGCTTTTTATACTTAAAAAGTTAAAAAAATAAATATATGTACATTTATGTCCAAACATTGGAATGCTACATATTGAGTTTGCATAGACAGAGATGCGTTACGGACACAGAACTTTTCACCTGTCACTTAAATTGCATCGATCTACCACTGCACAGGAAAAGGCTTGACATTGTCCTTTGTGCGCACCATTCCCACTTCCCGAGACAGCAGCAGATCCTTTGAGGCCAAACAAAATCTTCTCGAGTGCAAATACAAAATGGATCTCTTCTTATTTTAGATGCCGCTGCATTGTGATCTAAAGATTCACATGTGACGTATGCATCAGACTGGCTTCCCAAACCCCTCTTCGCCGTAAGATCTGAAGCATATTTTAAGAACAGTATTTTGCTCATGCTCGGGTTACAACACAGACATCCCAGCATCAACAGACAGACTTTAAACCATAACGATAATGTGTTAAGCCTACAGCATCCAGACCGCAAACCCCAATATGCATTTATCTGGAGCACTGATGCGTTTGCATTAATTCAATGCGGGCTTTGTTTGTTTGTTTGTTCTCCATGCTTTGTATAACAGAAGCTACAGTGCATGAGCATAGTAAATAAAGTGCCTAGTGCTATAGGCATAGAGGGGATTCTACTAGCCAGGGGCTGAATTGCTGTGTTCCCATAGGATCAAGGAAACGCAATGATGATATTTGACTTTAAGCCATTTGGCAGGGACCTGCATCATTCCAAAAGACACGGTCTACTGAATGTCTTTATCCTCGCCACCAATTGCCTGAATATATATATATATAGTGATCTGTTCATTGATAAATCTGTGTCCAATCCTGGTCCATTAGACAAACTAAGAGAAGAACTATGCACTTATCTGATTGTTTTGTGGGGCAGGAGATTATGGGATAGTTTTAAGACGGAGTCATTTTCTTATTATATGTACAGGGTTACATTTTTTGAAAAGTCCCCCGTGCAGAAAGCTAGCACATCAGGGAGAAACTTAGCTCAGATGTGCTAGTTCTCCATATGCAAGAATTAATTATTTTTGATAGGAAGAAGCACTAAGCCGCAGTCCAGAGTCTAAAGTTCCAGAAGAATCTACCCTATAGTTTCCCTGAATATGTAGGCAGAACATGTCTCATTCAGAAAGCTGGCAGAAAAGGCTTTTCCTTCTCTTGCCTAAACCCGTTTCTTCCTGGCATTGCATTTTCTGCACTTCAAAAAACTTGGGATGAATTCAAACTGGAGGTTTCTTAAAAGCTCGGGATATGACAGCTCTAACGCAGAGGTAGAGAACCAGTGGTCCCCCAGATGTTGCTGGACTCTAACTCTCATTGACACCAGCCAATGTGCCCCATGGTCAGGGATGATAGGAACTGTAATCCACCAACATCTGGAGGACCAAAGGCTCCCCCCATGACGTAACTATAAGGAGGCCAGTTGTTTCACTGAATACAAAGGAAGTTGCCTCTAATGAAATCTGTGCTTCTTCAGATTTCCAAACAGTTTTGAGAGCATGGTAACAGTTGCCTTACCATGTATCCCCCAACCTACCAGTGATATTATCCTCATGTGATCTGAACTGCCAAATCAAGTGACCACGCAGTGTTTATAGGGCCCCCTCTAAGGATGCTTTGCTAAAAGTAATCTTGTCAGAAGCATTCTAACCCACCCATAATATATCCATAGGATATCGTGGGGCATAAACACCACAACCAAGCCAACTAAGACATGCCAAGATGGTTGTGTGTCTGCCTTATAATTCAACCCACCGCCACCACTGCCATTTACAGTGCCACAGCAAAGATTGTGAGATGAGCAGCGACAGAGTAAAGATTGCCCGAGCAGTAAATTGGTCATATAGCCAAGCAATGCTGTGACCACTTTAGCACATGAATTTGACCTCTGTTGTGGAACCCCTCAACCCAAGTTCTACAGTGCACCAATCTGGCTGAGTAACTGGCCCTCACTATGGGCACATCTGTATGACACATTTAAACCAGTTTAAACCATCACAGCTCCAAAGAAGAACCCTCGGGGACTTTGGCTAAAGAGAGCCTTTGGTTAGGGGTGTATGGACCTTGATTCTCAGTTTCCATGGAGTTCTCCATTCACTGTTCCCACCTCATTGTGTACAAAATTCACTGAAACTCCACTGAGTAGGCTAGATATCTGAGGAGTGTCTGAGCAACTTTCTTCCTCTTTGAGGGCCTTCTGCCAATGCATGAAGACCTCTCTTTTACAGATGGCATTTGATCTGCCAAGTCAATAGTCAGCTCCCTGAAATATTGGCTTTATCTGCTGTTACTTCTCTCAGTGATCTGTTATTGTTACTTGTATTTTGCTAGTGTTTTATTGTTACTGTATTTTACTGTTATTTGTTGTATTTTTAAGGAAAGGCAAGTTAAAATATTTTTAACACCTAAAATCAAGTAGCTCTCTGGATGTTGCTGGGACTCCAAATCCCATCATCCCTAACTATTAACTCCCAGCGGCCACTGTGAGTTGGAGTCCAATAGTATTTGGAGGGCCACATCCCTGAAATGAACAAGCATCCCTGAACTACAAACAAGAAAGCTCATGCAAACATTTGGAATGTTAATGCTACCTAAGCACGATTTGAGCCAAGCCCAGAGAAGGTCCTGTGAGATTGACAGGCAGGTTGAAACTAACAATCAGTTTCATGCCTATAGTGAAGGGGCTTTTCAAAAGTCAAGTTTTGTGATTCTAACCATTTCAGCATTTGCAGTGTGGAACTTGATAATGCAGGGCATGTTGCTTAAACTAGTAGAGTTGTGTGCAAGGTCTTTAAAGAACAGCAGTGGAACTGGGAGGCTCACACATAGACACACAATTCTCTTCTCTGTGCAAGTGAAATTGACAGGCAACCAACAACTCCGTAGTGAAGTGTATGTGTTGCAAAGGCCTGGCCTCTCCACTTCAAGGATCTTAAGCAGCATCACTCAGAAGTTATCTGTCTGAGACCTTGAAGAGGCTTCACTCACCAATGGCAGAGGGCTGGATGAAATAATGGCCTGATTCAACATGAGCAGCTTCGTGTGTAGTTCTGTGAAACGGCTAATGATCTCTACCAAAGGCTCAGTTCCCTCACACAGCTATGATTCCTGGGGCTTCTTAATTGGGGTGGTGATGGCTAAATTGGTTTAAATGTGCAATGAAGATGTGCTTTTGGACTCCTGCCTCCACCCCAGCTTTGCTGATCCTTTTCTGGTCCTACCCCCCGCCCCCTGCCCCCCACTTTTCTGAGCCATCAACTTCATCAAGGCTTAAGTTACTTGCTGAGAACAAGATTTCAGATTAACTGAGTAGAGCTCAGTGGCTGCAAAACAGGCTGATCCAACAGGACAAATGGGACACTGCCCCACCAATCTCAGTATTGATTCCTCCAAGTCCACCTGTCGTCTTTCTTACAACCAGTCCAGAAGGTGACCCTGGCCCTGCCTGCCTGCCCATTCCTCAGCCTCCCTTTTGCCCTTGTAAAACTCAGCAAGGAGGAAGATCGAGACAACAGTAGAATTAGTTGACTCCCCTCCACCTACTGATGTCTTCCTTGGTGCCTGCCATACCAGTCCCAATGGTCACTAGGCAACACTAAATTGACTTACTGGGGGGGGGGAGTTGTTACCAATAACAGACTTTTAGCAAATTCATTACCAGAAATAGGGATGTCTATTCAATGCACGCCTTTCCGTGTCGCGCAGGAGAGTAGAGGCAGATGTGAGCCAGGCAACGACAACCGGAATAAAAGGAGCAGTCGGTAAAACCAGTCAAACTATGTTTAAAGTCAAGAGAAGCAGACTAGACAAGGTCCTGAGGTAGGGTGTTTGGAAGGATCCACATGTGGCGACCGAGTCCATAACTGCATTTGCCTTCCTCCAAAGTGCTGGCTCTTTACACTGAGATCTGCTATGAGTTCCTGTTGGTATCCAGGAAGAAGATCTCTCTTGTCCCAACAAGCTGGACAGACCTTCCCAAGGTGCAGTAAAAAGGAGAGGCTATTGTCTCTTTAGGATCGCCTCTGATGTACCAAGGGGGCTGTGCTACTGCCTCCACTGTTCCTTGCCCCTTTCTCCAACAGCTGTTTCCATGGATTGCTTTCCATCTCTTCCAATGGTCCTCCAATCTTTCAACTTCCCACAGAGTAGGAGATTCTTTGCAACGGCAGGACTCTGCGTGGTGAAGGCGAACAGCACCCCCACCCTTCTTGCTTTGTCTTCCATATGATCTCCCCTCATTTAAGTGCTGCTAGTTCGGAATTCCTCAGCGAGTCCTGCTGCTTCCAGGTGAACGAGGCATTTGAAAGAGCAAGGCGCCCTGCAAAGCAGAAGAGATGAAAATGTCAGCACCTCATCCAATCTCTTTGGGGAGCTGGACTTGAATTTGCCAGGCCCAGTCCAGAGAGCCCCTGTTGTAGCTTTAAGGCAGGGATAAGGAACCAATGGCCCTCCTGATGTTGTTGCACTGCCAACTCCTATCAGCCCCAACCAGCACTCCCAGTGGTTAAGGATGATGCGAGTGGTAGACTCCACATCACAGCTTTAAGGCTTGCAAAGAATTGCAAAAATTGCAAACATGTGTGGCTTCTGCTAAGCCCTGAAGCCCTATGATGGGAACACTCATTCCTGGGGAAATTCTGCCTTCTAAGGCATTCCTAAAGGCAGAGGAGCAACCTTAATTAGGTCTGTTTCTGCCCAGTTTTGTTTTAACGCCTATGGGAAACATAGCCAGAAATTGTAGAAAATGGAGAAAGATATTCCACTATAGATTATAGGGGTCTCAGTGTTAAATTGGGGAGAGGTCCTCCTTAGTGATGACTGAGCTTCCCTGGAATTTAATCAGACTGACTCAGATTAATCCTAGATGCTTCTCCAAATATAGTTTGTCAACTTAGTCTGAGTCAGTGCAAACCCATTCAGATTCAATCACACCCAGGAGAATCTGATCCCTACCCATCCCATCCCAGCTCTTTGGAAAATGACATTTTTCATTTCTATTTGTGCTATGTAGGGTTAGTTTACTCTTCATCTTCCTCCCTGCTTAATTCTACAAGGACAACCCTGAGTCTAAGGAGGAGGCAGTTGGCAGCTGGTGCCAACTTCTGGGCTGGGTGGAAGAAATATAGCAGACAGCTAGAGGTAGCAGAGATCAAAGAGAGTGATAGGACAATGTGCCTGATTTGCTCTTGGAGGTAGAGCATCAGATTTGCATACAGAAAGTCTCAGGTTGAATCCCAAGCAACTCCAACTAGGGCTGGGAGAGACCTCTGCCTGAAACCCCAGAGAGCCACTGCCAGTCAGTGTAGACAATGCTGAAGTGGATGGACCATTGGTCTGCCTCAGTAAAAGGCAGCTTTTTATGTTCTGTGTCCCTCACTTGCCCTAATGGATGAGCCGCTGCTATGTTTACCTCCATGCTTCCCAATGAATGAACCCTGGTAATAGTGATATTGATATGTAGCAAAGAGTGACCAGAAAATTCATCCAAACTACATGTAACTTTCACAGAGAGGAATGTAACAGACTACTTTGCCCTTTTGTGTGGAAGCACCCCAGAATGGTGTCTGGAATATTTAGGTGAGGGGAAGGCACAACAGTTGAACATTTGTTTCAATGCATTTTGAAGTCATGCATTTATAGATGCACCCAAGCATCTCTGGAAGCAGAGTGAGCACAAAATATGTGTGTGTGTGTGTGTGTGTGTGTGTGAGAGAGAGAGAGAGAGAGAGAGAGAGAGAGAGAGACCATTTATATAGGACCTTTACCTGAGAACTTTCAGAAGTTTGTCTTGCGGGGCTTCGCACTACGGCTCTGGAGAAGTTTTACCAGCAGTCCCGTGTTCGTGGTAAGCTGTGGATTTCTGAAATCCCTGCAGAGTTGAAACAAGTTGGTGCATATCTTATGAGAGAGTGCTCAAAGGAGTTCAGATAATTATTTTATTTTTAAAAGGCAGTGCCCTACAAACCATGCTAATCCTATTCAGAGTGGACCAGTGGAGACCCATGGTGAGTAGAAACCAGGACCTGAGAGACCATGCTTCAAATCCCCACTAAACAATGGGGCAAGACTAACTTAGGTCTATTAGTTCCAATAGGTCTACCCTGAATAGAACGTAGCTGGATAACACCCAATATCAGCATTTCTTAAGTTCATCGATGGCCTAGCCACCCTTGAGGCAAACACCTGTAGGTGAATAGATTCACAGAGACAGCAGATCTGGCCTCCAAGGAATGCATTGTCCACTACCAATGCCATAGTGCCAGCGACAGTTGCAACACCCTTTTTGGAGGCTGGATCTGCCACCTCCTTGGCAGTGTCCCTGCCCCCCCATGCTGTCTCTAATTCCCACCCTTGTTCTCAATGTAGAGCTTTATTCCTCCCTCATTCCTGATATACATCTTAGCTCACCTCGTCTTCCCTGACAGGCTGGGGTGGGGCCGCAGGAGGGCACCAGTTTAGGGTTAAAAACAGATTTTCTGTTTTGCTTTGTTTGGTTTTTTTATTTTGGCAACTAACCCATTCTCGGAAATTTTTACAGCCAGATTTATTACTCCTAGGTTTTCTAAGAAGACGATAGAACGACACGGTGACCCTGCTTTCCCTTTCCATGACCTGAACACATCCTTATGTTATGCAACTCTCTATCTACGGCTTATAGACTGAGAAGGTGTGTCTCTGTTGCACAGCGAGGGGTTCAGAGTCTAAAAAGATAGTCGCTCCTTTTTACAAAAAGAAAGAAGGCAGGGTCATTCTAAAGGGTGAGAAGGCCTGGGCTGGTTTAGTTAGGGGCTGGCCGTAGTGAGAAAGGATGATAGAGTTGTTGGGCCATTGGTATCCCTGGCAAGATAATTGGATGAACTCAGCCCTGTGATATAACTATGGATTATTAACTAAGGATAGAAATGAAGTGAAAGTTGATTCAGTTCACTTTTAAAAACAGTATGTGAACCAAAACAATGGTCACCTTTTGAAATTTGCACTTTTCTGAATTTTGCAGTGAAGTTTTCCAGAAAAGTAATGTGTACAAAGTATGCATAAAAATGCATAGATTGGTGAAAATAGCATACAAAAGGGCATTTCTTGAGGGGAAATTACCTTGCCAAAATGTGTATTGAGCAAAATTGCACAGATAAAATGGGTTTATTAGGAGAAATGTGCTGGTGAATTTTCTTGAGTTTTTTAAAATAAAAAATCACTGCAGAAGTATGGGAAAAGTTAAGCAAAATTGGCAGAGGTTAACAGATGTGCATTAACTAAGGTCTGTAGTTGCTTTATAAATATTGGCCTAGGTTAACCATAGTTTAGCATTACATTCAAACCCAAACATCATTGAGTTGAGATCCCCATCATCCCTGATCATTAGCCATGGGTGTTAGAGATAAGAACATACGGAGGCCCCCGAGTTGAGAAAGGCTGGTCTAAGGATAGGGACACATCTGAACACTTACCAAGGCTTGCCATGGCAGAAGGTCGCACAGACGCTGTCCTTTGAATGCGAGCACTCGCACCTGCTGAGTGATCTCTTCCGACGCCTTTGTGTATTACCCAGACCGTAGGGCGTGGAGTGGCTGATTAGGAAAAAACAAATTGTTAACTTCTATCCTTTATCAGAAAGAAAGGTTTATGGTGCGGGCCTGGCCGGAAGCCAAGCAAACTTGACAATAACAAGTCTCGTTTGCAGTTGCCATGTGATAAAAGCCATGTCATCTCACCCTCCCATTCTCACTCTGTCGGCCTTTATTTCCACAGGCAAGCAGCGGGCTGCAAGTGGGTTGATGCCCTTGTTGTCCTTGCCTAACAATATCAAGATTTGGGGATTGCCCATATTTGGGAGGAAGGTGTAATGGGACCTCACCAAACAATGGTTATCAATGCTATGAGCATGGCTACTCAGAAGTAAGCTCCACTGAGGTCAATGGCACTTACTCCCAGGTAAGGGGGATGTAGGCTTGCAGCCAAAGTCAGGTTCCTTTGGTTCCTATTGAAATAAATGTACAAAGTTCATTGGGGATAACTTGAACTCCATTATTTTTAATGGGATCAAAGTGTAATCCAACCCCAAACCTCTGCACACCATATTTATATTTATATCCTGCTTTTCCTCTCTGGAGCGCAAGAGCGCATACATGGTTCTCTTGCCCCCCTTCCACACATGCACACATTTGATCTTCATAACAACCCTGTGATGGTGCCTTGCCTGTGGTCACCAAGCAAGCTCCATTCAGAGTCTCCTCTCTTTTCTCCCTTTACACATCCCCATTCCTCACAACAGCCCTTTGAGGGAGGCTGGGCTTCCTAGGCAGGGGTGGATTTGAACTCGGATCTCTGGCACTCTAGACACTATGCCATGTCGGCAGAGAGGCCTCACTGTTCCAGCTGCACAGCAAGGCTTGTTCACATGTTCCGTACAGGCAGAACGTGCGTCGGAGGTGTGTTTTTAACAATATAAAAATCACTTGTGAATTATAACAAAAGGCAGATGATGCTTAAAGACAGGGTTGCTCTGTCATTCTCTGCCATCTAAATATAGCTGGGAGAACAGCCTCCTGCTAGGCTTGTCATGTTTCCTCCGCGAACAGGTTTGAGAATGGCATGCTCTTTTTCAGAGTGAGTCGTTACTCAAGACCGCACGTTAGCAGGCATAATTAGAACCACACCTGAGCCAGTCGTCTCTTTGGCTCGGATCTTAAGCTGCTTGCAAGAGAGATTGCTTGAACGCTGCCCAGATCTCTGTTGTATCATGCAAGGAGCAAGTCTCCTTCCCAACCAAACGCTGGATCGAAAGGCCAGCCCACCTCAGCTCTTTAGAAACACCAACCGGGGAGCAGCTGCCACGTATAATATCTGTGGCTGTTGCAAGAGAGAAGGACGGTGGCTCAGAGGTAAAACACATGCTTTTGGGTGCATGCAGAAGGTTCCAGGTTCAATTCCCGGCATCACCAGGTAGGGTTGGAAATGTCCCCTGCCTGAAACCTTGGAGAGCCAGTCACTTGTCCTGCTCTGCCAGGGGCGCCTAGGACATTAGGACAGCAGTCCAGGCCCCCCCCCCCCATGCTGAAGTCTAAGAGACAGGACCCCAAGATGCAGCAGTATTGACCTACCACACTTGGAAGCATGGGACGGATGACCAACTTAAGATGGGAGGAGTGGAGAGAAGCCATAAGACCACTAAATCCAGTGTCTAAAAGGGAAGCCCATCTGCTTTGCATGCAGAAGGTGTTGGGATCAATCTCCTGGAGAGGCTGGGAAAAAATTTCTTGCATGAAACCCCAGAGAGCTGCTGCCAGTTAGTGTAGACAATACTGAACTAGATGGACCAGGGGTCCAAGTCAGTGTTAAGCCTTTGTCCCAATGGCTCTAACTGTGCCACTGGCTCAAACCTACCAATATTCCCTCTGTGCTGCAGTCCCCTGTGTCCCCCCCCCCGCAATACTCACCCTGGCGTGTTGATCCAGATAATATCAAGGTGACAGAAGTAAACACACTCTTTGTCCATCCAGTTGAGGCAGGAGCAGCGCTTGGTCCTCAGGTGCCTGCCGCTGCCCGCTGCCAGGTGAGGCTCTGCCGGAGGGAGGCCCAGGCCTGCCAGAGGAGAAAATGACAGCCAGAGGGATCAGTCCCTGAACTCTCCAGACTGGAAGCACCAGGAATGCAGCATGGTATGTAAACAGAGCAATTAGCCTGCCACCTAGTTGAGAGGAGCATTTCTATTTTAGCCATTTTATAGCCGCCAAGGCTTTACAGATTAGGGCTGCGGGGGTTGTAAAAGTGTTCTGCTGGTTGCTGACAACGGGTTTGCATACAGCAATTCTGAAGAGCTCAGTGAGAAGAAAACTGAAGCCAGGTGAAAACCTCGGAGGAGACCCATATTGAGAGCATACTGGAAGCAAGAACACTGGCAAACAATCAACAGCACCAGCAGTAGCTATTGCCCAGCATATGCCTACAGCACATGACTTAAGGTGATCATGGAATCACAGACTTGGGAGGGACCCCAATGGTCATCTAGTCTAACCCCCTGCAAGGCAGGAATAACATTTAGAGAATACGTAAGTATTATTTTTACTGTAATAATAATAATCATCATCATCATCATCATCATCATCACCACAACCATCATTGTCCTGGCTCCTTTGCCAACCATAGAACGTGTGTGCAAATTATTGGCGTGCCAAGGATCGATTTTTGCATTCTCCCAAATGCACAGAGCACTCCCTCCCTCCCTTTCGTTATTTTTGGCAAGCAAGGGGGGAGAAGAATGCACACAAAGAGAGAAAATGCGAGCAAAAACTCTTTCCAAGAAAAGGGGGGAGGGATGTGTTACGATTTCGCCACCTCTCTTGGCAAAGCCCTAAGGGAGCTGCTTCGGTCTCGCTCGCTGCTGGCATGTCACAGCGGCAGCGGCAAGGCATCCCTGCAAGGCGGGACAGGTTGACTTCGCTGCCTCTTGCTCTCCAAGCCAATTTGCTCGGGAAGTTGCAAGAACAACAGAGACGGAGCAGGAGCCGCTGTCAGAGATAGAGAGGGCGGACTGCTAAAAGGAAAAAGGGAAATCTGGGGGCGGGGTTGCAGCCAATGCTAGTCCTACTCAGAGTAGACCCATCGAAGTAACTTAGCTTCATTAATGGGTCTACTTTGAGCAGAACTTACTGGGCCACAATCCATGGGGACGTTGCCTTAGACAGAGTCAGACTACACGTCCATCCAGGTCAGTATCATCTACTCTGATTGGCAGCAGGTCCCCAGGGTTTCAGACAGGGGTCTCACCTGGAGATGGTGCGGACTGAGCCTGGGACCTTCTGCATGCAAAGCAGATGTTCTGCCACTGAGCTACAGGCAGATGCCCCGTGGAGCTACAATCTATGATCCTGCCTTATAGCGGTTGAGAACATCGGTCCATCCAGCTCAATAGTGCCTCCACTGACCGGCAGCAGCACCTCTCCAGAGTTTAAGGCAGGGAGGGAGCTTTCCCCAGCCCCCTCTCTGGAGATGCCGGGTATAGAACCTGGGATCTTCTGCCCCTCCCCCGCCCGCCCCCTGCAAATCAGATGCTCTCCCCGCTGAAGCTAGCTTCGTTTGCAAAGTGCTCAGGGGATGCCGATTTTTAAAACCAATGCAAAAAATTAAAATAACAGCAGAACAGCAAAAAAGAGGGAGAAGGAGAAAAAAAATTCCTGTTGATTCTCTCACCTTCTTCCAGCAGGACGCAAAGGGTGATTGCAAGGGAAAAGAAACAGGAGGGATTGTTTACCATTGTGGCGAACTTAATCCTTTAATGGGCAGAAAGCTGAGCTCTCCCTGGCCAGAGCTGCAAAGAGGCTCTTCTGAAGCTTCCCGGGCTCCGCTGCAGGTGCTTTATAGCTCCGGTGCCTGGCGCGTCACACAACAAGCACGCGGGCACGCCTCCTGCCTTCTCCCCCCCCCCCGCCCACCTTCCCTTGCCAAGGGACTGGGGCTCCCTCCGCAGCTGGCAAAGCATTGCAGGGCAGCGAGCCAAGCAGTCGAGGCAAACGCAGCCACCGCGGTCCCTGCTGCGGAAAGAAGTCTCCGGCTGCCCTGCTGGGGCAGGTAACGCGCCCTCAATAAGGACATCTGAGACGCAGTGGTGGCAGAGCGTTTGTTTGGCTCGCAGGAAGTCCTGGGTTCTAATTCTGCCTGGAACCCTGGAGCGCCGCTGCCAGTCAGTGTTGACCGGACGGAGTCCGAGAGAAAGCAGCTTCACGTGCTCCTCCTGCTTTGTGGCAGGTTAGACAAAGCCAGTACAATTTTGCTGACACTGTCCGACAGTGGTTCCCCAAGGTTTCGGGCTGGTTTCCCCACTGCCCTGCCCTCCCACTGAACCTGGAATTGAAATTGGTGGGTGCTCTAGCACTGAGCTACTGCCTTTTCTCTCAATGAACGGTGATGCCCTTTGAGGGACCGCTGCTCTATCTTTCAGCAGGAAGAGATGATCACTGTCCTGCTGCTTGAAGCCTCGTTGCACCCCTGTGAGATCACTCGATCTGAGAATGAGAGGATGGGAGATTCTAAAGGGGTTGGGTGGATATCTGAACCCAAACAGTGGCCGAGATGGTGCCATGGATGCGAATTGCCTAAAGTCACAATACAGTGCGCGCCCACACAAACACACACAATTTCTAGTGCCAAGTCACTTGCTGGAGACCACCTTGGTTCTTCATATTGATTGATTGATTGATGATTGATTGATTGATTGATTGCATTTATACCTTTCTCTCCAAGGAGCTCAAAGTGGTGTCAAGGGTGCCAACTTAAATAAAATATTGGGGGAGAGGTCAGCCCCACTCCACATAATCGATCACAAGATGAGGCACGCACACATAACATTTGAATGGCAATGAGCATCAACTTTGGGGCAGCCCCCTCAAATATTTTATTGAGGGGGTAGCCAAAGGGACCTTGGCCCCTAGGAGTTGGCTCCTACTGATGGTGTATACATGGTTGTCCTCACACCCCTATTTAATCCCCTCAGCCAGCCTGTGAGCTAGGTTAGGCTGATAGGCAGTGACTGGCCCAAGTTCACCTTGGCAGGGCCGGATTTAGGTTTGATGAGGCCCTAAGCTACTGAAGGTAATGGGGCCCTTTATACATATGTCCAGCTGTCCTTTGTCAACAACAAATTGTTGCTGTTTTTGGTGTTGAATATATGCTATATGGTAGTTTATGTACCTAAAAGGTATCTAAAGCCATTTGCACATAACAAATAGGAGCCCACACAACACAAAACACTGTTGCTGTATGCAGGTTTTATATCTTATATTTTGGAAATGTACATCCAGGTTTTTTCCCTTTAATTTTGGGGGGGGGGCAAGAGAGTGGAGCCCTAAGCTATAGCTTGTTTAGCTTATACGTAAATCCGGCACTGCACCTTGGTGAGTTTTATGGCTGAGCGGGGATTTGAACCCTGCTCTCCCAGGTCCTAGTCTGATATGCTAACCATTTCCCTACACTGGCTCTCTGTGATTTGAACCCACAATTCATATTCAGCCAGGAGCCTGTTAACTGGATGAAGGCAGGTGATACTTCAACTTCCAAGCTCTGGTTTGTGGATGATTTTTATCTTTGCATTACTGCATTGAAATTCACCTCTGGGTTTCGTTTTAAGGTTGCTGGGGGGTGGGGGTTGGGTTGTTGTTTTAAGGCTCACCCCATGGCCTGGATTCCCTTAATGCCAAATGCATGCAACCCAGCCGCAGTGACTTATGAGTCATTTTTGCCAAGAATGCACTCTGAACATGCCTATGTGTGTCCTGGTAGGAAGTTGCAATCTCCAGTTTTCCCCATGCGAATTTGTGCGAGGTGTAGTCATGCTTATGGATCAAGTTCTCCACAAAGCTTTTTTTTCATGGCGACTGTGGGAAAAACAAGAGATTATCACTCCTGCGGTTTAGGGAATGTCTGCATTCTAAAGGCATATCCATGTAAGAGACTCCCAAGCCACTGGTCCACCTTTTGGCACAAACCCAGAAGTGAATCACAGGAATGAAGGGAGCTGCTTTATACAGAGCCAGACCACTGGTCCATCTAGCTCCATATTGCCTGCACTGACTGGCAGCAGCCGCCCAGGATTGCAGGCTGAGGTCTTCCCCAGTCCAACCTGGAGATGCCAAGGTTTGGATCTGCATGCAAAGCAATGCTCAAACACTGAGCTCCAGCCCTCCCTCTTATGTTTCAGATATGACCCTCCCCCCACAATACAGTAAATAGCGGGGGGGGGGGCATACATCAGGAACAAGGGGTAGCACAGCACTACATACCCCCAAGAAGGGCTGTAGCTGAGAGGCAGAGCTCCTGGGTTCAATCCCCAGCATCTCCAGGTAAGGCTGGGAAAGATTCCAGAAAGGCTGGTGAATGGCTGCCCACTGAATTTAACAGCCCTAACAGAAGTTCATTAATTCCAGTGGTCCAACGCTGAGTAAAACTTCACTGAATACCACCCTGTGTACCTACTATGAGTTCATTCAGTGGTTTATTTTTTTATCCCACATTTGCTCCAAGCAGCTCAAGATGAGTCTTTTCCATCCCCCTGCCATTTCAACCTTCATAAACAACCTTGCAAGGCAGGTAAACTGAGAGGTAGTGATTGGCCCAAGTTCATCCAATGCGCTTCCCAGCTAAGCAGAGGCTTTCTGATATAATAATAATAATAATAATAATAATAATAATAATAATAATAATAATAATTTATTTATTTATTTGTACCCCACCCATCTGGCTGGGTTTCCCCAGCCACTCTGGACAGTTTCCAACAAAAGATTAAAAATACATTAAAACATCAGTCATTTAAAACTTCCCTAAACAGGGAATATGTTTTTCTGATATGCACAGGATACAACTCACACAAAGTTTCATCATCCAAGGAGTCCTCTCTCCTCTCTCTCTCTCTCACTCTCTCACTCTCTCTCACTCTCTCACTCTCTCTCACCCCACCCACCCCACCCACACCCCTACAACTTTTAATATGTGTCCATTGTATAATTTGCAGGCAGCTCCCGCTGGGATGAATCTTGAAAGTATGCACAGTCTTTTTAACTATGTTTTACTATTACCCTTTGAAAGGCCCTCTCACCCACCTGGGTGTTCAGGCCCTCCACCTGCCACCTGAAGTGGGGGGGCAGTCAAACCTAGGTCAGGTCAGACCTGGAGGTTTGGCAACTCTACACAGCTGAAGAGTCGCTTGGGTTTGAAGTTCTCCATTTACGAACATAACGGATGTGGACTCACTTTCGTTCCCCTATTATCATACCCACCAGATGTTGTTGAACTTCCACTCCCATCATCCCTGACCATTGGCTATGTTGGCTGGGGCTGGTGGGAGTTGGAGGGTGGCAGTTTGGTCACCCCTGCTCTAACCACTGCACTATGATGTCTCTCCAACCGACAAGAGAGCAACCTACATATTCTATCTTGAATCCTTTGTTAGGATAAAGATGGGAAGCATCTGGAACTCTATAACAGCTGTAAACCATAGGAAGGGAGAGGGCTCTTGTGACTGTTTGTGGGTTTTCCAAAGACACCTGTTTGGTCACTGTGGACAAAAAGGTTGCTGGACTTGACTGGCCATTGGCCTGATCCTGCAGGCTCTTCATATATTTTTATGTTATTTTCTTATCCTCATCTGCTTGTAGAAAGCTTATAGATTAGATCAGTCCTTTCTCACACATTCGTTCTGATTTATTTCAGTGGGTGGTTATACAACAATGAGCATTCAACCTGTATCCGTTCTGATCTGCTTGTGGAGTGTTTATTTACCTTCCCATTATATACCCTCCAACATTTCTCTGACAGAAAAAAAATTGGGAAGTCCTATTTCATCATTATCATAAAACATTAAACATTTTTTAAAAGATACCCCTTCCCTAAACAGGGAAGATGTCTTCCAAAGGTTGAATAGTTACTTATCTCCTCAGCTCAGGGGGTCGCGTGATTCCATACCCTCCAACATTTCTCTGATGAGGACAGAGAACTTTTAGTCCACTTTAAACATGCACACGAAAAAGTCCAGTATGCGCCGGAATCCTTCCCACAAAATAGTGACCATGTGGAGGCAACCATAAATGCTTGCTTCACTTATTTGGACTGCAGATTAAATCCACATCCTGGCTGCCAGCTCTGACCCACCACTTTTCACCTCTGATATCTGGCAATATCGGAGTTTGGTTTGATTTGTCTTTGAAGGGAGTGGTGGGGAGAGAAAGTCGGAGCTTTGGGGGAGCTGCTTCACCCCAAAAGGTCCTGAGCACCAGTTCTCTGAGAGGGAGGGGAGGGAAAGAATTGAGGAGGAAGGCGGAAATGAAGGAAGAGGCTCAGAATGCGAAGGTATCCAGTTAACATCGCATAATCCTCTCCTGCCTGTTAGACCGAAGGCCATGTAGGGGCATGTTCAGTCAGGCTGGCATAAGGTGGCAAGGCGAGGGAGAGATCACTTACATTTTGCACGAAATAAGGGATATGTGATGATTTCATTTTTTAAATCTTTCAGCTGTGATGGGGCAGCAGAGGAGAGAATGTAAGGGAGGCCAGTCTCTAAGAATGACCAAATTGACAACGTCTTGCACCAGTTGGAAACACCATGCAGATATAAATATTGAAACAAGGCGGGAACGTATGTACACTGGTACTCAAGCTGACAAGCCTTTTCATAGCTAAGAATCTTGGAGTGGAGTTCACTGGGTGACTGGTTTTGCCCCATTTTTTTTTTCACCCTCTTGACTAAACTTTTCCACCTGCCCTTTCCTCCAAAGAACACAGGAGACACACACACCTTTCCTTCTCTGAAATCCACATAATGA